TTTTAAGAAGAAAGGGCCTACGTACAGAAAAAAAAACTGCTTTTAAAGAAAAAGAGGTTTTAATTAATTAAAATGAAAAAGCAACACTTTTATGTACCTGTTATTTAGCGTATTTAGAAATGCTGAAAGTCATTGCTTGCTGAACATCTCGGTCCTTTCTGTAAGTAAGCTGTTTAAGCTTGTCTTCATCCGTTTTCGGGCAACCAAGTCGCGCACCCGCTCGACAATGAGAAATTGCATGTGGTCACACTCGGGCTGACGCTCCATCCACTAGAATGCAGTTTCAAGGCCGGCAACGCTTCACCAACTGATGGTCCCTTATCTGCTTCATCTTTGACATTAAGGTCATTTTGTCCCTCGACACTTTCTCTTCTCACACTTTTAATAAATTCGTAATCATGTAGAATTTGAAACCCAGGGTCTAACGAATCAAACACCATCGAATTCTGCTGTATCCTCCAGCACTAACTTCTGAACATCCGGGAATTTTCAAAAGAATGTTTCTTAATTCCTCAAGTGGCACGTCATCGTCATCTTCTCCTGTCTCTTCCCTTTCCTTTTCTTCAGTTGCTTTTTTCTTTCTTTCCTTTTCCTTGTAGAGACATTAGGTTATTTGGAAAATAGTATGAAAAATTGGCAACGCCTTCGCCGGGAATCAAACCACTGACTTCTGGAATACCGGTCCAGCGTGCAGAACCATTACACCACGAAGGCACGCTAGGAAAGCGGGAGAAATACCTTATATACTCCCTTTCTTAAAGGGCGACTGGGGTTTTTAGTGGACCTAATCGCCAAATCCCGTATGTGAAGAATCCTCATCTAATACCCTTTTAGTTCGGGCGCCACTGTAGAGTCATTAGGTTAATTCGAAAAGCCGGAGAGATGGAAAATGAGCAAAGGCCTTCTCCGGAAATAGATCCGCGGACCTCTGGAATACCGGACCAGCTTGCAGAACCACTAAACCACGAAGGCACGCTAGGAAGGCGGGAGAAATACCTTATATACTCCCCCTTTTAAAGGGCGACTAGGGGTTTTTAGTGGACCCAATCGCCAAATCCTGGGCGTGGAGAATCCTCATCCAACACCCTTTTAGTTCGGGCACCACTATAGAGAACTTCGAAGCCAGAGGGCACTTTCGAAGCCAGAGAGATGAAAAATTAGCAAACGCCTTTGCAGGGAATTGAACCACGGACCTCTAGAATACCGGCCCAGCTTGCAGAACCACTACACCACGAAGGTACGCTAGAAAGGCGGGAGAAACACCTTATAGCCTTCTCTTTTTCAGTTGATTCTGAAAAATTCTGAAAGCGATTGAGATAGTCGGAGTTCAGATACCCGGAGTTATACTGTAGTATAAGATAATGTAACGAACATTCTCCAAAAAGATTTAAAAAACATGTAAGTTAAATTTTAATTTATTGGTTAATTATTAATTGTTATTTAAAATAATACGGTATGATATGCGATGGATCTTAATATCTAAAAAAAACAATTGTTATATTTGAAAATTTAATCTTATTATTTTTTCCATAATCCAAACACATCTTAACGCATTCGTCAGAAACAGACAAACCTGTCGATCATTTAAGCTTCTCATCTGTGATTACGTAGTTCTATGTTTAAAACTTCAATTTGTAAGATATATTTAAATTTTATAACACCTGTTTTAAGCATCTTTCCTCTCTTACCTAGCTTCAACATACAACTCCCTACCAGAACGAGTTTCGAGTTTTTAGAATCGTGTTGAATGCAAATGAGAAGGAGAGTAGTATTTAAGTTAAGTTCAACTGACTTCGACAGAGAGAGTTAGGATTCCCGAGTAGCGCGCGTTTGCGTTTGGACTACGTCTCTGTAATCTGTTACTACGCTTGGTCGTATTACGTGACTTTTGATAGCTTCGGTGGCTAATTTAATATTACGGGTCAACTAGTTTAGAACTGCGTTAGCTTTGGGTAAATCTCTTTAGTTAGTCATTAGTTAGTTCTTATTTCTTACATTTTAAGCCCTAGTCGAGGCTTTGCTGTACGCCCTGAGAAAGGGACCAACTGTTAATCTTATTTTGGAGTGAATAAAGGATAATTAACCCTTCTTGAGTTTACCTTTCTGTTCTTGGACGTAAGCGATTATTCGCTTAGCAGTTCACTCGTTTCCTCGACATTCCATTTAACGGAGTAAAAGTGAGGAATTTTAATGTAAATTTATTAAGTTTGAAATACGAATATTTCAGGAAATACTAATAAGCAGAAAAATATGGTAAAACGCAAGTTCTTTCTGTTAAAAATTAATAGTAGTAAACACATATAAAATAATTATGATTTCTATTCATGCAATGCAGAAAAAGAAAAAAAAAAGACTCCTTCTATGTTATTACAGTTATACTCAAGTTACTGATATGTCTAAGGCACATCAAGAGAGTTCTTGCAGTTAAATGGATTAAGCTTTCCGGGGAAGGAACCTATTTATGTTTGAAAAAAATTTATGTTATAATCCTAATTAGAATAGTATGCGGAGATTTTTAACAAAAGTCCTCTAGTTTCGAACTTAGAACTTGACTTTAAAGTGTAAATTTAATCAATTTCTTCTTCATTAAATTTTTATTTTACTTTTGATTTTCCTTCAGTTGTTAAGAAATTTACTTAGAAATTATTAATGACAAATTATATTCCTAATTCAAGTACTGTGACTTACTTCTAACAAAGCTGAGTTTTGATGTGAAAAAGTTAGTTTTCTTATTTTTTGTTCTAAGTTGCATTATGGTTAGTAAAGCATTAATTATCTCCGCATCTTGGCTACCTACAATTTCTGAAACTTATTTTTGATGTTGAAACAGTACCCTTCTTTCACATGTTGAGAGATTCAGAGGCAATATACTGAGTGCGTCAGAAAATGTATGCACACTTTGAACTGTCAGAGGAAAATTATTTTCCAATCTACAAGGATTCAGTTCTAGGAAAAGTAAGACTCTAGTTCAGTTTTGAAAATAAGTGTACTTTCTAGTCAAACTAAATGTTAAAAATGTTGTTGAAAGTAAATGTTCAAAATGATGGCCTTCGGCATCGATACATTTCCGAGTACCAGTCACGACTGATTCCGTACTTCGCACCAAAGTGTCCAATGGGATTTCTGCGCACACCGCTGAATCTCATTCCAAAGTATATCAAAGTTACGCCGTTTACGACAGTACACCTCATCATTTACTGTGCCCCATAACAAAAATATCCAAGTTGCGTAAGGTCTTGAGCGGAGGTCGGGTATAATTTTCTGAATGGGTTCAGGAGATGGTTACACGTGAACTGGGATTTATGGGTAGCATTGCTTGGTTAGATGAAGCATAATTTAAACTTAGTGGAACTGTGTCTGGTGTAGGCATGCGGGAGGGGGCATATCTCCTATTAGACTGACTGGGCCTTTCCGTTTTGAAGGTACTGTAATTGGAGAGAAGTACGTAACAATGCTTGCTAATTCTCTTTTCTCTTATATTCTGCAATGTATGGTAAAACCAAGGCCAAGGTTATTACCAACAAGATGGCACCCCTCCGCATTATCATAGAGATGTGCCAGCAGACCTGGATCAAATTGTACCAGGCCAGTGGATACGACACCATGGGACCAAATGAGTTTCCTCCAGACCCTGCGCCCTTGTCCAGACCTTACCAACTCTCCAGGTCTTACGCCGCTCGATATTTTCTTCTGGGCACAGTAAAAAACGGTACTGTCGTAAACCACGTAACCTTGACACTGTTTGGAATGAAATTCAAGCAGTATGCGCAGAAATCCTATAGAACACTTTGGCGGTAATTACGGAATCAGTCATGACTACTTGGAAACGTATCTATGCTGAAGACCACCAATTTGAATATGTATATAAACACCATCTGGATCATTCAGTTTGACCAAAAAGTACACTTATTTTTGAAATTGGACTATAGCCTTACTTTTCCCAGAATTTACATTGTAGATTGAAAACGAAATTTCTTGTATAGTTTTTTTCTTCTTTAATAGTAAGTTTTACATTTACAATTTAAATTACAGCTCGTCAATAGCTTTTTAGCTATTTTATTTTAATTGCACATTTTCCTAACTAGGCTTTCTTGTAAAGCTTTTTCTTGTTAATTAGTAAGTTTTACATTTACAATTTAACTTACCGCACGTCGGGAAAAGGAGCGATATAATTGAGATTTACTAACCTTTTTTAGAGTATTAAGTTGGATTATTCTATTAGTAAAATTACGTTTATAGTCTCAATTATTATCGTTTGACGAAACGCACTATAGGTATTAACTTGATTCGACTTTTGAGCTGCTTTTCCCTTGATAAAACCGGCTCAAACTTCGAGCCGGACTATTTACCATTTATTGCAATTTTTTGTACATATTTGCTGTGTATTTGAAATGTATTTAATTTTTCCAAGAGTTTTTTTTAATTGTTTGTGCGTTAAAATTTCTTAATTTTTCCTCCCCCTTTTTGATTTTGAAGTCACCTCGATTTGTAATTTTTACATTTAGTTTTTACGAGATAGCCCTTACTACTTTAATGTTGTTTCTAGTTGTTACATGATTTTACATTTTTGCTAAGGAACTATAGTGTCGAATGTATTTTTTAGCATTAGCCTTTTAACTTTCCTCTTATTTATAAAATTTTAAAAAAATTTTTCAGCTCAATGCGCAAAATTCTTAACCACTAAATTCATGTTTTCTTGCTACTTTCGTTAAGAAAAGAGGTACATTGTGTAATACTTTCATACAGAAAAATTATATACTATATAATTAATATAATTTATAATAAATCTAATCTACAATTTTACAAAAAATTACATCATTAATGCAATTAATAAAATATATTTAGAAAGCCGTATATTACGTTACCCTTGTACAGACTAATCGTTTGAGCATTTTCTCAAAAATAGTCTATTAAATTCCTGCTTCCAGAGTTTGTTCTTTCTACGAAACTGAAATACTGCATTTAGACTATATAATAAATATATCTGTTTACTTTAATAGGCCAGTAACAAGAAGAATTCAAGAGTTAAATCCCAGCCAAAATTCAAATTTAGATTTCAGGTAAGAATTCACATTGTTACTCATACTTTACGAGGCATTTACATTATTAAGAAAGAAAATGAAATGAGTCTAAATGATTATTCGGAGCAGGAAGATCAGAATATACCGAGTATATGGGTTTCAGAATAATGTTAAAAATATTCTTCATAAACGAATGATTAGGATTTAGGTACATATTTAAAGTTTGAACAATATTGGTACAATGGTGTCAAATGTAATAAAGCTTTAACATTAAGCACTCATAATTTTGTTGCGATTTTTTTCAGAGCAATAAGAAGCATAAGTATTATTAGAGAATTTTAGGAAATCAATAGAAGAATAATCCTACATTTACATAAGTATCATCATAAATGCACTACAGATCTTAATTTTAAAATATGAAGATAACATTGTTTGGCTGCTTCCAACCAGTACTAAAATATCGTTCTTTATATAAATCTGTATTTTCATTACATAAAATGACAGGTGTAGTAACTAAATTTTTAATGTAATTCTAAAGATTAGCATTTGTAGTTCTCTTTGAGGCTCCGGGAACCAATCAACAAGTCCTGGTGTTGGAGAATCATCATCCACCGCGTTTCTTTAGTTCGGGCGCCACTGTAAAGACATTAAATATTTTTGAAAGCAGAAGAGATGATAAATGAGAAATGCCCTTGCCGGGAATCGAACCACGGATTCCAAAAAATTTGTCGAGTTATACGGTATATCGAGATATCGGGAGTCGAGTTTGCTGGACCTTTACAGCAATAAGTTTAGACACTTATCTAAAAATTATTGTCTATATTATCTGTAGTAATGTTTATAATAATAATAATAATCTATGAGATTATAATTATCGTTTATCTATAGTAAAATAACCTTGTAGAGCTATTAGGTTATTTGGAAGCAAGACACTTGAAAAATGAGCAACGCCTTCTTCCGGAATCGAACTACGGACCTCTGGAATACCCGCCTAGCGTGCTGACCACTACATCACGAAGACATGCTAAGAAGGCGGGAGGAATACCTTATAAATTAAACATCCGAGCGTTCTCCGTTATCCGAGGCCAGGCGCAACGATGCAGCAACCAGCAGCGCCATCTACTGTACAGATCAGGGTGGCGCTTTAAAATTGAAAGTTGAGAAGAATATCTCATTATTATGAAAACGTTATGAGGCTGTCTGAAATAGTATGCTCAGTATCTATACTGTCAATTCTCTCTTTCCGTTTTCCTGGCGGAATGCTAATTTTAGCTCGAGCGTATTTAAATGAAATAGAAAGAAAGTATTTAAAAAGGGAGGCTTTAGATTGTTTAGAAAGAGCGTGTTCCGCCTGTTAAAGATCACGCTGCTGGTTGAATGTCAACGACAGCTTTCTGTCTTCGGCGTTGCTTTCTCACCCCGGTGTAGGTTTGAGCCATTTTGCGCGTTAAACATTTCTTTATAGCCTTTGATAATGTATGACTTAGATTTGATTTAAGTTTGAAATTCCTTAGTTTTGAATTTCGCCATAAATGTTGGCTGGTTTAGCAAGCACAAAAATTGCCTTCTGTTCAACTATATTGAGGCTTAATAAAGGGTCTTTAACACTTTTCTTACGTATCTGTTGTGATTAACCAGACATAGCGATAAGTCGTTCACATCTCTGCAAGAGTCTTGACTTAGTGGATGCTACCCAAGGCAGCGAGACTCTGCAAAGTTACATTTTTGATTTTTCATGATGACTCTCTCAAGCAGCGTAAGCTTTACTATATATATAATTGGTTGACAATATCGTAATTGCAGACCATTAACTTACAAACGGTACCATGCAGGCTGACTGAAGGACTTTACACCTTACAAGGTATTTATCTTTTACTTTACAAGGTATTTATCTTTTTACTTTACACCTTATAAGATATTTATCCCGCTTTCTTAACATGCCTTCGTGGTGCAATGGTGAGCACACTCGGCGGCGCGTATTTGAGAGTTCCCAGGTTCGAGTCCCGGCGAGGGCATTATTCATTTTTCAAGGTTTCCCGCTTCCAAATAACCTAATGTCTCTACAGTGACGCCCGAACTAGAAAAGGCGGGGGATGATGATTCTCCACCACCAGGATTTGGCGATTGGTTCCCCTAACCCTCCGTTTCTCTATCACAAGGATTTGAAGATTGGTTTCCCTAATTCCCAGACGCCCTTTAAAAGGGGAGAATATTTAAGGTATTTCTCCCGCCTTCTTAGTATGCCTTCGTGGTGTAATGAACAGCACACTGGGCGTGTATTCGAGAGGTCTGAGGTTCGAGTCCCGGAGAGAGCATCGCTCAGTTTTCAAGTCTCCTGCTTCCACATAACCTAATGTCTCTACAACCTAACAAACTCGTATACACTGGACCTATTCACGAATATGTTCCAAAGAATTTCTTGTAAGACTTAAGACATTAGCCATCTTGGTTCGCGATACTTCCCAGTTATAGAATGAAAACCATTACAGAAAGAACACACGTTTAAAATTTATGTGTCCGTGGCTTATGAAAAACACAGAGAACAAACACACTGAAGAATTGAATCTGATGTAAAACAAGTAAGCATCAAGTCAATCATATAAAGTGAAATGATGGAACAACTCAACACCTGTAGCAAAGGGGGAAAATTTGAAATAGTATATTCTTCGGTCAGGAGACATTACCAAGACTTTGTTGTAGCCTTTACATCAAAGCTGAGTCATGCATGTCGCTAAATTATAAATTTCTGAGCAGAATAAAAGGTCATTAAAACTATTAATGTCTAGAGGACAAATATTTCTTCCTTTCCCGGGGAATATGCATTCTCATTTTTCATTTCTCTACAATAAGATGCCACCCGCTTTAACAAAATAACGTCGAGAAGTGAGTCCATAAGACTTCCATACTGATAAATACTGATACTTACTGATAAATGCGTTTCGAGGAGCAAGTTTTGTAGCTGGAAGAACTTTAAGAACATATTTAGAGTTTGAGAAAATGATAGATTCTGAAAAAGAGGATTTACGACAGCAAAACTGTTGCACCTTTTTCGAGATTTTTTAAAACAATTAGAACAAGTAATATTTAAAAAAAATAAGCCTTATTCCTACTTAGGTTAACAAAGAAAAATTTTATTTCAGTTACTTTTTATTAACATTTTTTCGTTTCTAATTTATGAAGCTGTTGGCGGTCTATAATTTCTCGTTCTATTTATCTCTTGTAATGCTTCATTATTGAAAGGAACCTTTCCAGTGAGTTTCGAGCAGTGCAGTTCTTCCATTAATATTCCATCTAATGATTTCACACAATTCCAGGCGACATATGCTTGACCTGCTGAGAAGAGGTTTCGTTCTAGATATATTACCGCATAATCTACGGTGCTTAATAAGCGAGGGACATTTTAAAGAGTTATAGTTTAAACATATAAATATTATCACGTTAACATAGAAATAGGAGAATTTTCGATACATATTGGACATCCATCCGCTTCGTCCAACTCTATAAAACTGCAATTCTTTAATTCCATACACTTCAAAAATCTTAGAACTCTGTCTACTGTTGCCACTTATTTTTGTTAAATATTACAATCCCATTGATCGCGGTCTTGTACTATTATTTATAAGTTGTTATAAAATTAATTTTTACAGTACGGGAGAATTCCTAATAAACGGTCATTATTCGTAAGTTTTAATATGTGAATTATGGGAAATTTTAATGTGTGAAATTTTAAATATGGGAAATTTTAAATTTTAGTTATATTTAATATGTGAAAAAACCGTATTAACATCAAGTGTCATCCACTGCAAGTTTAAAAAATGTATCTGAACTTGAGTGGATGAATAAAAAGTATTTTATCAACGATTGAAAATTTGAACAAGATATAGGAAGAGCTAATAGTAGGAATTTAATAATAAAAAAATTGCTGTTTACATCTATGTACTATTAATGTGTATTTTATTTTAAAATCAAAACCATAATGAATTTTAAAATTAATATCAGTCACCGCTATTTAGTTTTCAGTTTAAAGTTTTGCCTTGTAATCGCTTTTCAGAATCCAGTATAAGAATAAAAAATATAATAAAGTGTGTAAAATATAATGTGATGTACTGGCTCTTTGCAGACAGCATCAGGATGTCAAAGACCCTAGTCCCGAAGGTTGGTCTCTTCCAGGATCGAGAGAGAGCTGTGTAGTTACCGTTGTCAACCGAAAAGAACCTTCCCGACGGAGTCGCGTACTTCTAAATTTGAAAACAAAGCAGAGTTGGGAAGACGTATTAAGAGACATGGGACAAGCTGTTGGAATCAACCGCGTGACACGCATGCTCACGCCTTGGGGTGAGGAGGTGAGTTTAATATCACTTTACTCGCACATACCATGTACTGAAAATTTAGTTTAAGTGGAGAAAATATTTTTAAAATATAAGCAATAAAACATCTGAAAGCGTTCAGAGAGCATATTTTACATTTATACGTACAAGCTTACATCACATCTATACGTACAAGTTTACATTACATTTATACGTACCAGTTTACATTACATTTATACGTACAAGTTTCGAGAGCATTTGAGCTAAAAATATTTAAAAAAAGCATGCATTTAAATAGATAGTTTTGCGGTAGAGATGAAAATGTTTCATTTCGTACAGTGTTGGGACTGCTAGCTTTGAAATCGTTGCGTTTTGTAATAAAAAATTTGTTAAAGTTTTACATAATATGAAAAAGATAATGAAACAAATTCGAAATACACAATTCGGGTTTCTAGGTGCCCATATTCGGGTGGAGGACTACGTTATTCAAAATTTGATGGCTGTAGGTACCGCCGTTGTTTCCCAGTGCGAGAAACATACGTACCTTCATGCAGATTATTCATTATTAAATTTCTTTAAATATAATACAATGCGAAAATTTGAAAAGTGGTTTAACGCTTTAAGCGATTCGACGCTAATGCCGTTTCCAGACTAATAGCCCTTCTGGGCTAGTAATGCAATAGCAATTGAAATTAGAAATGCATTTGAATTTTAACAAATTGAATTTGAAGGAAGAAGTATTTGAAGATTGGACTTAAAATTAACAAAGATTTCGAGTTCTATATATCTATATTTATTTCCTTTTATTGAAAATTTTGATTCATAAGTAATCTACTGTACTGTGAAAATTATGAATTTATGTAACATTTAAATGTTACGCATACTTACCCAACGACAAAGAATTTAATGTGAATTTGAATGAGTGAACTGACATTAGGTGGACAGAAATAATAAGGTGCTCATGGCACGTCCTCTTGCGATCCCGAACAAAGAAAGTTCAATACTTAGCTCAAAGAAACGGCGCAATTTATTTTTAATTATTTCTTTCTCTCTAAATTATATGTCTCTACACCTACAGTCAGAATTAAACTATAGTGAGGCATAATTCTTTGCCAGTTTGAATTACTTATTTCTTTAATGAAAGTTTAGTTGTGAAAAATGAGACTTTTATTAAGTTTATTAAGTTAGTAAAGAACATGATTTCAATTTAAACGGTTTAAAGTCTCAGTGAATTGATTAGAAAGAAACATATTACCGTTTTCTAGTTGATCAACTTGGTTTGAAGCTTCAAAACACTTTTGACTTGAAAAGTTCTGTTTGAAGCTTTAAACAGAGAAGATTAACGAAAATGTTTTGGTACTCTGTAATTTCCCCATTTTTCCTGTGGTAATGTATTTAGTTTATCACTTGCCTTTTCTTATGTATTTCACTTTCACAACATGTTTCAGGAAAATGATAGGATGCTTTCAAATATTTAAGGTGCTTTTGTTGATTTTTAATTTCATGCTAATTTGAATATATATATACGTGTGTGTGTGTGTGTGTATTTTTTCTTATATATATACTATATGTAAGAAAAAGTGTGTAGAAGACAAATTACGATTTAAATTAGCAATAGACCTTTGCTGCTTAATTTGGTATCGCCCCTCTCTATTCAAAAAATAGTAATTTTTTTCTACACTACGTTATTTCCAGACTAATCCATGTCATATGACTCCTACATAACACTGGTGATGTAAATGGAACTAAAACAACTAATAATAATTTTACAGTAGTATGAATTATCCAACCAAAATTAACTCACTCTGAATTACCATTTCATCTTAATCGCAACTGCACTTGCTTTCTACATTTCCGCCTAGCTGCACTGCTGCTTGATGCTCTCCACTTACTGCAAACTATGAAAATATTAAACATTTTAAAATAGCCAGAAGTTGTTTGTGCCCGCAACATGGTTTTTTAAAATACAAATGAATATTTAATCTGCTTTGACTGCTATATTGCTCTTCATTATTGATCTACATTCTACATTTCTACGCCATCAATATTTGTACGTATCTGTGCATTCAATTTTTCTACAGCATCATTGCGTCTAAGAGTACTTAATTACGATGAGTCGACAGGATCTCACGGAGAACTTCTTTTGATGCAAATCTGAGTCATACCTAGTTTTAATTTCTACGTTTATAATCGAAGCTCTAAGGTTTTTTTCATTACCTATATATATAAGAAAATGACGCGTTTTTAAGGAAAAATTAAAAACAAGCTATTAAACATCTCAAACTTTTTTTCTTATTTTGTGCAGGTGAGAAGTTTCTCCCATCTAAAGAACGATTTTAGTGAAGTTGAAACATTTTATCTCGACAATGAATTGAACAAAAGCATTTCTCTTCGTAGATCAAACAGTGATTCCAATATCAAAGGTAAGGAAAAAACATTTAATTCGCATCTCTCAGTAAATCGATCTGTCAAGACGACTGGAAATTCTCTGAATTGGTGAAAGTGTTTTAATATCATATCTAAATTGGTAAATGTCCAAAATATACTTCAGTTTTTCATCCGACTTTTTTTTTTTTTTTTTTTTTTTTTTTTGAGAAAATGTTTTGGAAACTTGGTTACCTTTCCTTCCATATTCAACAAAACAGAACATTGACACTCATAAGATTTTAAAGTAAACACGACTTTTATTTCCTATGATGGCAGCCGAAAATATTGTTGCGTGCGTACGGGTTCGTTATGAAATGAATGCACAAGTCCGATGAAAAAAAATGAACAAAAATTTATTATTATCACAACAAAAATGCTTAAATTTTCTCAAATTATCACGCAGTATTACAATATCTCACAGTAGTTTTCTTTTAACTACTCAATGTCCAATAGAACGTAAATTCAAAACAGCTAAAGAACGCTAATCCACGAATTCGCTACAATCAACAACAGTAGTTTTTTAAACAACAACAAACTAAGCAACTACTACAAACTGAGATGTTTCCTCCTTTTATAAGATTTTAAAATCACGCGCTAGAATTTTCCAGTACTTTCTCTCGAAATCAAAAAGAGATATTTATTTATTTAATGCACGCGCTCTTGTATTTTCAATTTTCCGGCTTAGCTTTTCTTTTAATATTCGTCACGCGCTGCACTGCGCGAGAAATAAAACCAATTAATTTATAATTGAACTAATATTAGCTTTTTAAATACCAAATTCGTACACACTACCCCCTTCCCAAGGACTGCACGTCCCGGGCAGTACAATCCCTGGACAGGAAGCTAAATTTACAACTGTGGCATAAATGCCAACTGAGGCATAAACATTACATTACAATATCAAACAATATAAACAATAAATGCAATAACTAACTTGAACAAATCAAATGCTATCAAATACTAAATACAAAACAAATACTAAATACAATCAAATCAAATACAAATAAATACTAAATGCAAATCAATCAATACTAAATACAAATCAAATCAAATACACATTTATAAAACAAAATAGACCATGGTCTTATACTATTTACAATTATTTACATTATGTACTATGGCCATAGTAATGTGCTAACCTGTCGTAATGAACGACTTTAGGTTTAGAGTTCGAAGACTTACGAATCCGAACCACGACGTCATTCAGCTGTTTAGGACTGTGTACGGGCCATCCCAAGGTGACTGTAATTTCGGACAAAGTCCTTTCCGTCGAGTCGGATTCCACAGCCACAACCTTGTCTCCTTCGTGGAATTGATGTTCAGTAGCTCTTGTGTCGTATCGGGTCTTCATCTTCTCCGTCGCCAAGTTGACTCGCTCTCGTGCAAAGTTGTGCATCACTTCAAACCGGGCCTGGAGATCTTGAATATATTCCTCAGACGATGAAGGAGCATCCGGAGGGCGGCCAAACAATAGATCACAAGGCAGACGAAGATCACGACCGAAGAGCATTTGTGATGGAGAATAGCCGGTAGTGTCGTGGACAGCACTGCGGTAAGCCAGTAAAAAGAGTGGTAATTTCTTGTCTCAGTCCTGTTGGTTTCTGGAAACCACTAATGAGAGGTTATTAAGGATGGTTCGATTGAACCTCTCTACCATGCCGTCCGACTGGGGATGCAATGGCGTCGTTTGAGTTTTGTCAATGCCGAGTAGTTTGCATAGTTCTTTGATTACTGCCGAGGTAAAATTCCTTCCCTGATCGGAATGTAACTGAAGAGGCACTCCGAACCTGGAAATCCAGTGCTGTATCATTACCTCAGCTACTGTGACAGCCTCTTGATCAGGAACAGGGTACGCTTCAGGCCACTTGGTGAAGTAATCAATGACAACGAGTATGTATTTGTTGCCATCAGCAGTTCGTGGCAGAGGTCCTAAGATGTCAAAGGCGATACGTTCAAAAGGCGCCCCTACGTTGTAACGTTGCAGCTTGCCTCGGCTGCGTCTCTTCGGTCCTTTCCGACCTGCACAGGCATCGCAGGATCGGCACCACTTTTGCACGTCATCCTTTGCATTATTCCAGTAAAAGCGCTCACGAACTCTCTGTAAGGTCTTCATTATTCCAAAGGACCTCCCGTAGGGCTGTTATGTAGTTTCTTAAGGACATCAGGAATGCGGGATCTTGGAAGTATCAGCGCCATCGGAACGTCTTCCCATCATCCGATTCAAATTTCCGGTATAAGACGCCGTTTCGAATGTGAAGTGAATCCCAGAGTGCCCAATACTGTTTGGTTGTAGGACTACAGATAGAAATGTCCTGCCAGGTAGGTTTTCTGGTTGATGACTCCATTAAATCAATTATCGGTTTTAATGTCGTGGTCTTCCAGCTGGTCTTTCCTGACTTCATCATCACGCACTCCACGGTTCTCGATCAGCCGATGTTGATGTTGTAATTTGTCTTGCGACCGGAGTCAGCAGATCGTATTTCGCTTCCACCCTGGAACAATATCGGCAGCTTTCTTGGCAAGATCTTCTAGACAGGGCGTCGGCGTTTCCGTGTGATGATCCCTTACGATGACGGATAGTGATGTCATATTCTTGGAGTCTCTGTATCCACCTGGCTATTTGACCCTCAGGATTCTTGAAATTTAAAAGCCAGGTCAATGATGCATGATCGGTGCGAAGCAGGAATTTTCTGCCATATAGATAGTGATGGAACTGTTCTACGGCTTTGACTATGGCGAGCAACTCTTTCCTGGTGACACAATAATTCCTCTCCGGTTTAGACAAGCACTTGCTCCAGTAGGCCACTACACGTTCTTGGCCGTCTATTTCTTGGGACAAAACAGCACCGACACTTTCATTGCTCGCGTCGGTGTCCAGAATAAATGGTCGGTCGAGCTGAGGATACGTGAGGATTGGAGCAGATGTTAAAGCCTCCTTTAAGTTGTAAATGCATCCTCGCATTCTTTTGTCCACAAGAATCTTTGTTTGCTCTCTGTCAGCTTGTGAAGGGGTCTTGCGATGGAAGAAAAGTCCTTCACGAATCTCCTATAGTAGGTGCAAAGCCCTAGGAAGCTTCTCAGCTGATGGACATTTTCAGGACGTTTCCAGGATTTAACCGCTGATACCTTTTCAGGATCCGTGCGCACACCTTCTGCAGAGATGACATGTCCCAGGTAAGTAACTTCCTTTCGGAACAATTTGCATTTAGCGGGACTCAGCTTCAGATTGGCTTCTTTCAGTTTCTGAAGCACCTTCCTAAGATTTTCTAAATGTTCTTCAAAACTCTTTCCGACGATGATGATGTCGTCCAGGTATATCAGGCAGGCTTCGTAGGAAAGACCTTTCAAAACAGTCTCCATAAGACGTTCGAATGATGCCGGCGCATTACACAGTCCAAACGGCATCACCTTGAATTGCCAAAGCCCTTGTCCCGTAGTAAATGCCGTCTTTTCTCGATCTTCAGGCTGTATTTCTACCTGCCAATACCCACTCTTTAAATCAAGTGTTGAGAACCACTTGCTTCCAGAAAGAGTGTCTAGAATGTCGTCAATTCTAGGAAGAGGGTAACTGTCTTTCTTCGTAACATCATTCAACCGGCGATAGTCAACGCAAAATCTTGTTGAGCCGTCTTTCTTTCTGACGAGAACGATGGGAGATGCCCATGGACTCGCTGAAGGCTCGATGACATCGCCTTCTTTCATATCTTTTAACAGTGTTCGCACCTCTTCCTGTTTAGCAAACGGTAGACGTCTTGGATGTTGCTTGATCGGGGGATGATCGCCGGTATCTATTCTATGTTGTGTCAAACTAGTTCGACCCACGTCAGAAGACGAGCAGGAGAAAACAACTTGAAGATCTTTGATGACGCGATCGGCAGCATTCTTCTCTTCATCGTTCAATTGCGCATTCTGCAATAACTCCGATGTAATGCTCTCTGATGAGGACACGGATTCTTGGATATTGCTCTTTCTTTCAACGCTGGTTACTGGAGTACATGCTGCAACCACGTCGCCTTTCTTAATAACTCTCGCCTTCTCAGTTACATTGGCAACTCTCACCGGGATAACCATTCTCGATAGGTCGACGAGTGTTGAGGCTACTAGTACTCCTTCGGGCTATTACAGTTATTGGGATATTTTATGATGCCGTAGCGTAAATCTCTGTTTTCGGCTATAGATCCAGGGAGTAAAATTTCTGTTCTTGCGGTATTGTGATATTGTCTTGTGCTATGATTCTGTGGACAGATTTAACTTCTTCATTATTAATTCCAAATAACGTTATGTCCTCAGACGCAGAATGCAATTCGTTATTTTTAAAGTCCAAGGAAAAATTGTATTTCCTTAGAAAGTCCAATCCGAGTATGCAAGAATCAGTGATCTCTGCTACATATGCCGTGTGATGGTAAGCGGCACTTCCAAACGTGATGTTACCATTTACTTTCCCATTGATGTCGATCTTCTCACCGGACACAGTCTGTAGGGTAACGCAGAACGGCGTCCAGATAAGTTTGCTTTCCAGTTGTTGAGCCAAATCTTTTCGGATGATGGTAACGTTGGCTCCTGTGTCTATCGTCATATTGCAGGGGACTCCGTTAATATGTCCTATTATGAAAAGTCCATTACTGCCGCCTCTCACTGCAGAAATCTGAAGCGCTTTAAACTGGGGCTTTTCATTATCTGGCAACCTCCGCCCCGCGAGAAGGCCACTAATTAGTTTCCCTGCTGCTTGTTAGAAGCGGTCTTAACATCCGTACCCTGGAGTATTCTGCAGTTTCGTCGTATGTGTCCTTCAGCACCGCAGTTCCAGCACTTAACGGTCGGTTTCTTCTCACCAATATTCCGTCTCAAGGAGTTCAGTTGTCTAGTTAAATCGTCTAGACGAGCGGTGACTTGATCCCCTGGCTCCTGGACTTGAGCAGCTCTGACTGGGTGGCGGTCTCGATGAGTGGCTTGCTGGGCTGCCTCGAATTTCATGGCGTACACTAGAGCGCTTTTT